TTAAGGTTTGTTGAGTGGTTCAACCACAATTTTCATTTATTTCGGCATGCTTAGATTCATTTTATGTGGTTAGGTGAAGTTTGATAATGTTGGTGGACTCTAGAACCTAGTAGAGAAGTGCTTAAGGCGAAATTCCAGGATTAGACATGGTGGAGAAGATGATTTAGGCATTTTTCGAAATGTTTGAGCCTTTCTAGCTGACCCATGAATAAAATTGTCCCTAGTTACCCACTTGAACTGTTTGGATTTTATTGCTTATTTTTCTTGAAAAACAACAAAATTGTCCATCTTTATACCCTAAACACTTTATCGTACCCTTAGGAGAATTCGGTCCTAATGCAAACGAAAGAGTTGTACGAATAAGCCAAAAGAATAGTTTGGGGGTTGGGAAAAGAGAAATGGGAGTTGGGAGAAGAGAAATAAAAACAAAAGAGGTAGTCACCTCAATTCAATTGAATTGTTGAAAAAAAAAAATGAATTCTGCCTAGTTTAAGGGTATACCGGCTGGAAACCAGAACCCGCCTTAAAAACTACCTAGCAGTACTTGGCAACCTCTGGTATAACAACGCCACGTACACCTTAAACGAGATTCCCCCGCATTCATGGTTTCTGAAATAAGAGAAATACATGTTTGAGGGTTGTGAATTAGTGGACATTTCAATTGGTGGTTAAGAAGAAGTGGAGTTCGATTTGATGTTAGTTTTTGCATTAGGAAACCGAGTTTTCTTGCTTTGTTATTCCTATCCTTTTTCTTGGAACCCACTACCTGAGCCTAACGTTACAAGCTTTTAAAGACCTTTTGATTCTTATCTTTGTCTAGTCCTCATTAGTGGAGAGTAGTTCAATATTTAGGCTTATGGAGTCCGTCACCATTTGATAAACTTTGCATTTCTGCATAAAATAATCCAGGAAGTTGGAATGTGGATTGAAGTGGGGATCACCTACTTGGTGGACTGATTGAGGAAGATAGTCGATATAGCTTATAACTTCTTGGAGTGTTGAACATTTTCTGATAATAATTTTTCAACAACTTTTGAGACTTGTGTAATTTCTAGGCATTTCGTTTGTTGAATTTGAGTCTTGTTGGTTTTTGTTCATTTTTCAGTTTTGATGTGTGTGTGTTTTGTGTTTTTGTTTGTAGTTTGTTGTTTTCATTCCCTTTAGTTTTGTACCGTATGCTCGGGGATGAGCATATGTTTAGTTTTGAGGTATTTGATAATCCATGGATTATACCGTTTTCATTAGACTTTTTAGTCAGATTTCAAGTACTTTCTAGTTCATTTTAACCTGAATTGTTGCTTAATTCTTTACATTTCATGTTTCAGGTTAAAATGGCAATTTTGAGCAAATAAGGACAAAATTGGAAATTCTAAACTCAAAAGTAAGCAGATCTTAGAAGTTGGGAGAGTTCTGAAGCAGAATAAAGCACTATGAAGCTTGCTTCCAAGGGAGAGCACCGAGGATCGAAGAATCAAGCGAAGATGCAAGCAGAGTGGCAGTTCTATAATTTCAGAACTTTTCAAGAAGCTTCGCCGCGACGAAGTACACCAGTCACTAAACATTATGCTTCTCTCTTCGCCACGGCGAGATTTCTTCTTCGCCGCGGCGACAGTCGTAAATTCTAGTTTCGCAAAACGCACAGTTTTACTTTGTGTGTGTTTTTCTGGGGAATTTGGGTGAGGTATAAAAGAAATGCTTAGCCTTTTTGTTGGGGATCGAATAGGGTTTGAGCAGCTTTTTACATTTCCTTTGATTTATTTTTGAGCGATTTTGAGCTATAACAAGGGTGAAGATTCGATTTCGAACCAGGGGATTCATCATTTGGGGAGATTTCTTGTCTTTTCTCTCATTTTCATTATGCTGGACTTTAATATTATCGTTTTTCTTGTTTGTAGTGTTAATTTAGCTATGAACTAACCCATTTTGGGTTAGGGTTTTGATTGTAATTCGGATTTTAATGGGTTAAGTGATTGTTTTTTTTATTTTCATATGATTATATTTTGATTGTGTGTTTGCTCTGAATTTTAATGCTTATATGTGATGAACATGGTGAGATTGAGAAATGAATCATGTTAGGCTTCTTGGGTAATCACCATTGTAGTATTGGATGCTAGAGATAGATTCAAAAATCAATGAAATCATTGGAGGATTCTTATGCTTAATGAGCTTGGATTTGTTAACTTTCAAATTGTTGGGTGCGGAAAGTTAATAAGGAAGAGTAGGAAAACATAGCCTGAGAAGGTATGTTTAACACTTCAAAGAGTTCGATTTACAACCAATGCATATGAATATGAATTTAGTTTAATTCTTAGGTTTAACCCATAAAATCCGAATGAAGTCAAAACCCTACCCGTTTTATTTGAATTGATTGCTATCCGTGTTTTTCATCTCGTATTCATAGTAAATTTTAGTTTAAAATTTATTGTTTAGTTTAAATTAGAAATAGCTCCCATTAATCCAAAAGAAATCGATTGTTCCAACTTGAGAATAGTAGGAAGCTTAGTGCTTAGCTAACAATCCTCGTGGGAACGATACTCACTCATCACTCTATTACTTGAGCGACTAGTATACTTGCTACACTATGAAAACACGCATCAGTCGGGTTGACCCAGTTCAGCCATTGGACCGGTTCGCGGACCGGTTTGGACCGTTGACCGGTTCATTGACCAGTCTGAATCGTTTACCAGTTCATTGATCGGTCTGGATCGTTGACCATGTTGACCGAGTCGGGTTGACCTAATGGGTTTTGGTCTTGTTTGATCGGGTTGGTTGACCCGTTTTGACTGTTGACTTTGACCGGGTTAGATTGACCTGTTTATCCTATTGGGTCTGTTCTTCTTGACCCGTTTCTGTAACCTTTTACCCAGTTTTTTCAGATTTTCAACAGCCCGTTTCCGGCCATTTTTCCAGCATTTTAAAGGGGAAACTTAAATGTGGACATATGACCTATATCGGTGACATCCCAAATGACAATTTCGTCCTAAATCGGTGCCGAAAATGGCTTCTGAAAACACCCAAACAATAATTTCTAACCAAAATTTTAAACTAGCATAACTTTGCATCCAGAGCTCCTTTTTTGACAAATAATATACCATTGGAAAGCTTTTTCAACAAAATGACACCAAAATCGAAAACAGATTCTATTTATAATAAAAGTTATGCTTGATTTACAGTACGGGTTTTAATGGAAAAAATCCCAAATTTTATGCAATATTTTTCAGATTTGCAACAAACAACTTCATGCTAGGCAGAGATTCAAATAATGCTCTGATACCAAATGTAAAATTCATTCATATTCCAATATTCATATAAAAGTGATAATACAATCAATTTCAATATAAAATCTCCATGGAATATATGCGGAAGAAAATGAAAAACCTCTAGCCATAGCAATTGTTGTTTGATCTTCTTGCTCCTTCAAAAATTACAGGATCTTCCACTGACTGCAATTTTAGAGTGATGGTTTTGAAACTAAAAATAAAACTGCGTCACATGGGGACCTGTAAAGTCTCCTTCTTATATGCAATTGTCTTTCCATCAAAGACAACTACTCAAGAGACACAACCGTATGACCACATCAGTCCACATCAGCAAGGACCAAAATGTAATTATATGAAAAGTGTAGGACCATATTGCAAAAGTTCTAACACCAAATAGATTTGGATTTTCCGATAGTCGTAAGAGAAGGGAAAATAAGGAGAAAAGGCTCAATTCGGCCAAAATGGAGGTGGATGAGGCTGGGAGATGGATGGGTTTTGTCAGGATGAGTGGGGGAAGGTAGTGGTGGTGATATTGATGTCAAACAGCGTCGGAATCCAGCTAGATCTGAATTTTTTGGCAGCCACAAGGGAAGGGAAAATCGTGAAAAAAAGCTCAGATTCGGCCAAAATGGAGGCAGACAAGGCTGGAAGATGGTTAGATTTTGTTGGGGATGAGTAGGGGAGGCTAGTGGTGGTAGCGGTGATGTCAAACGGTGCTTGAATCCAGCTAGATTTGGGTTTTTAGGCCGCGAAGGAGGGGAAAATCGCGGATAAAAGGCTCAGATTCGGCCAAAATGGAGGCAGACCAGACTGGGGATGGATGGGTTTTGTTGGGGATGAGTGGGGGAAGCTAGTGGTGGTGGCAATGCTATCAAACGGCGCCATAATCAGGCTAGATCTGGATTTTTTTTACAGCTGCAAGGGAGGGAAAAATCACAAAGAAAAGGCTCAATTCTAGCAAAACTGGAGGCGAACAAGGCCGAGGGATGGAAGGATTATGTTGGGGATGAGTGGGGGAAGCTAGTGGTTGTGGCGGTGATGTCCAATAGCGACAGAATCTGGCCAAATCTAACTTTTTGAGACTATCGTGAGGGAGGGGAGTGATCCGGGGTGCTTGTGAAAGAAATTTGAGATGTAAAGGTTTATGCGAAATATTCATTTTTATTTAAGATTTAATTAGTTTAAATTACCATTTTACCCTTTAAACGTTAAATTAAATGATTCTCTGTTAATTAGAGGGTGGTAGCCACGAATAAGTGAAACTAGGGTTGGGAACTTGGAATTTCGCTAATCTTTGGGTGGGAACATGTCGTTTACTCTCGAGGGTTTTGAAGAAATGGGGCGTTTATATTAGCTGACCATAGTGGCACGTATGATTTAGTGATGATAGTAAGTAATTTAAAAAATTAAGTGATAATAATATATTAATGGATGTTACATAATAACATTTATTTTTCATATTACTGTAATAATGTTATTAGATCAATATTGATTGTTATATTTTTCTCGGATTAGGATGTCACAATCTCTTCAAGGTGTTGTGTATTTAAATTAGATTATAATTTGTTGCATTATTTTATTTACCTAACTTGAATCAAGTAGAGGTCATGATAGTGTCAAGTGTCACGAACTTGGCCACAGGTCATATTATGTATTTAAGTGAAACTTTGTCTATGATAATATAAGATCAGAAACAAAATGACAAGTGATAAAAAGTAGAAAAACAGAGAAAAACAAAATCTAAAGATTCAACAAAACAAGCGAAACGACTTTCTGCAGAATCTTTCCTTTACGTTTCCGGCAGAGCTAACAGGACCGCCTACAGGTTAGCCATTAATTAAATGTCTTTCACCCCCATCCCCTATTTCTTCACACTACAACAAACTTGCCAATAAATCTAGATCGGATTGACCTTAGTATACTCATCTCTTCGTCATCCTCATCTTCCGGTTCTTGCTTTCTGATCATCAACACAACAATGGCACAAAAGAAAGAGAACATAGTGATGTTTCCTTTCATGGCACAAGGTCATATCAACCCTTTACTAGCTTTAGCCCTCCGGATAGAAAAGACAAAGAAATTCACCATAACTTTTGTTAACACCCCTTTGAACATCAAGAAACTCAGATCATTTCTCCCTTCAAAATCCTCCATTCATCTCCTTGAAATCCCTTTTAATAGCTCAGATCATGACCTCCCTCCTAATTCTGAAAACATGGATTCTCTTCCATACCATTTTCTTATCAATCTCTTTCAAGCTTCTTTGTCATTGAAACCCCATTTCAGGAAACTTATCTCTAATCTTATCCATCAACAAAATGGACAAAAAACGGTTTGTATCATCTCAGACATGTTCCTAGGATGGTGCCAAGAGATAGCTCAAGAGTTTGGCGTCTTTCATGCCATATTTATTAGTGGTGGTGGTTTTGGCTTTGCTTGTTTCTACTCTTTGTGGGTAAACCTACCCCATCGGAGCACAGATTCTGAAGAATTTGTCTTGCCGGATTTTCCTGAAGCTTCTGTATTTCATGTTACTCAAATGACAGATGTTTTGAGATCTGCGGATGGTAGTGATTCATATTCAAGCTTTCTAAGGAAAGCGCTTTCTCAATGGAGTAAAGCTGATGGAATATTGTTCAACACAGTAGAGGAGATTGACAAGCTTGGACTAACGCATTTTAGGAGAAAATTTGGTCGACAGGTTTGGCCTGTTGGGCCTGTTCTTTTGACCCCGGGAAGCCAAGCTCGAAGCAGAAGAGATTTTGGAATCTCTCCAGAGGAATGTAAAAATTGGCTTGATAAGAAACCTTCTTGTTCAGTTATCTATGTTTCATTTGGTTCAATGAACACAATATCAGCATCACAAATGATGCAATTGGCAATGGCTTTAGAGGGTTGTGGCAAGAATTTCATTTGGGTTGTTAGGCCACCATTAGGCTTTGACATAAACTCTGAATTTAGAGCAAATGAATGGCTGCCTGAAGGATTTGAAGAAAAAATCAAAGTCTCAGGACGAGGGCTGTTAGTTCATAAATGGGCACCCCAGGTAGAGATTTTATCTCATAAATCTTTATCTGCATTTTTGAGTCATTGTGGATGGAACTCTGTGCTTGAATCACTGAGCCATGGCGTGCCAATGATAGGGTGGCCAGTGGCAGCAGAGCAGTTTTATAATGTAAAATTGTTGGAAGACATGATTGGAGTATGTGTGGAGGTTGCAAGAGGGAAGAGGAGTGAGGTTTTTCATGAAGATATAGTGGAAAAAATTGAGTTGGTGATGAATGAGAGAGAGAAGGGAAAGGAAATGAGAGAGAAAGCTTTACAAATTAAGGAGATAATTAACAATGCTATCAAAGATGAGGAAAATTTTAAAGGGTCATCTATGGAAGCCATGGATCAATTCTTGGACGCTGCATTGAAGCTGAGGGGAGAAGACAAAGGGAAAATCCATGGAGCTCCTTCGTCAGTTTATGAAGAAAAATATTGCATTTGAAAAACAGAAAAAACAGCCAATAATTTCTCTTCTCAACTCCACTTGGAAGATCATGCTCCAGGTGAATGAGGAGATCCAGTAATTCGTTTTCCTTTCCTTAAATTATTGTATCAATTTTAATTTGTGAGTTAATTTATCATCATTCATGATTCTTTTATCTAAAAATTACTAAATCGATGTTAAATTATAAGCTTTCACCTTTAATTTACAAATAAGAGAAGATATAGTATATAAATTTTAATTTGTTCAACACACTCAAGTGTTCTCCACTGACACTTCGTTTAATTCGTTGTGCTAATATTTTTTTTGATATCCAAAGTTGTTTGGGCTAGTTTGTGCACACTTTAACTAAGGGACTTTGAAGTTATCGATTAGGTAAGTCTCCAATGGCTATCCCTTATTAGTAGTTGTGGGGATTCGACTCAGGATCTCTTGAATAAGACACTTAAGAGTCCTAAGTGAATTGTCTACTTACCAAGAGGTAGTTCGCTCATATTTCACTAATGCCTTTTTTTTTTTTTTAATGATCGGGAGTGTCTGGGCTAATTTACGCATACCTCAACTAATCCCTCGAGACCCTAAAATTATCGGTCGAGAAGAGTTCTAGTAGCTACTCTTATTAGCAACCGAGGAGGGACTCGAACTCAAAATCTTTTGAGTAATACACTTAAGAATCTCTATCGAACCACTCAACCCTTAGAGATAGTTGACTAGCACTATTTTCTCAGTACAGTCAAATGTCACTCAACTTTTCTTTATTTTTTTGCACTCAAATTTTAACAGTACCTCAATTAATCATTTAGGTCCTGAAGTTGATAGTTAGGAAAATTCTCTTAGTGATAACCTTTATTAGCAATCTAGGTGGATTCTTGCTCCCCTTTTTACTCTCTCACTTTCATTGTGGCACATGTACAAGAGAAAAAAAATACTAACGGTAAGTAACATCACATGTCAGAATGTGAGTGAGAGACTGAGAAAGAGATTGTATTTATCATCTCTTTCACATGGATATTGGCTATATATGTATAAGAACATGGGTCAAACTAATTAACTACACGTTTTATATGTTATATGTAAAAACACATTCATATTCCAATATTCATTGATAATACAATCAATTTCAATATAAAACCTCCATGGAATATATGCGGAAGTAAATGACAAACCTCCAGCCATAGCAATTGTTCTTTGATCTTCTTGCCCCTTTATAAATTACAGGATCTTCCACTGACTACAATTTTGGGTGATGGTTTTGGGAATCAATATGAAAATTACGTCTAATGGGGACCTGTAAAGTCTCTTTCTTATGCAGTTGTCTTTCCATCAAAGACAACTGCTCAAGAGACACAACCGTATGACCACATCAACAGGGACCAAAATGTAATTATATGAGAAGTGTAGGACCATATTGTCAAAAGTCTAACATTCTCCCACTTGGTCCAAACTTGTATACTATAATCCAGAACACAAGAGATGTATATGTGGTATGTGCAATTAGAAAGGGGAAATTACATGAATCATAGCGGTAAGTCCCTTTTAAACAAGTATTACCTTCTATGTATTACAATGCAATTTTACTCTTTCTAAATAAACGCTTAAATGTGGAATACCACTTTATGAACAAACCTCAAATGTTTGTTCTAGGTCCTCTAGAATGTTTGTTTGTCTCCAATCAAAATGTATACAACTTAAAAAAGAAAACAAACTAAATTATAAAGTTTCTGACAATGAAAGTATTACCTCTCATAGTGACAAAGCGGGACATAGTCCCATTTGAACAACATGATCCTTGAACGTCTTTGGTGGCATGCCTTTTGTTAGAGGATCAGCAATCATCTGCTCAGTATGTATGTGTTCAATGAGCACTTATTTGGCTTTAACGTGCTCCCTTATTGCTAAGTACTTAATATCGATGTGTTTACTTCGACTTCCACTCTTATTATTCTTAGCAAAGAATACAGCAGCTGAATTGTCACAATATAACTTTTAAACTCGAACCCTTTATGCTTTACAGTTTGCCCCTAATTTAGCCTACCTAAAGGTGCATTGTTTGCATATAAAATGGATAGTTCTAGGACCATTGATGAAAATCTTGATGATTCTTGAAAAGACCCAAGTGTTAAAGGGTACAGATAGAACTCGGGGATCTAGCTTAGCCATGATTATGTTAATTCGTTGCCGAAGAGTACCAAGTTGTAAAGAATGCTCTTCAATACACTGGTACTGTCCCAAGCTTAGACCTAATAGTCTCAAGACTAAAAGCCAGAGAATTAGAAATTAAAATAAAGAAAGAACTGTAGTAACCTGTTTGTTAGGGAAATGGTGAATTTAACCAGATGGGCAATAATGCCTAGCCTAATAATGGCTTTAGAAATAGAAAAGGGGAAAGCAAAACCTAAGACCAAGGGAGAAACCGGAAGTGTTTCTTCTGTAATAAGGCTGGCCATTTAAAAAAGAATTGCTATGTCTGGCTCAAGAAACAAACAAGGGAACACTAAAAGCAACCTAGCAACCTCTAAGTCCATATAGAAGAATCTGAAGTTCTAACAGTATCTAAAACATGAAAGATAAATGTTATTAGTAGTTCTTGGTGCTCATTTCATATGAGCCCCATAAAGAATGTTTCAGAACTTTGAGGAAAATGGTTAGAAATGTGTATATGGGTAATAACAATGCTTGTAAAGTCCAAGGAATATGTAATGTAACCCTAAGACTAGACACTGAAAAACTGTCAAGTTAACTAAGGTTAGGTACATTCCAGAATTAAGAGAAACCTAATTTCATTAGGGACGTTAGATGAAATGGATGCTATTACAAAGCTGAAAATGGGTGCCTTAATATGCATAAAATAACAATGTATTGCTTAAGGGTGTAAAAAGAAATGGACTGTATATCCTATGTGGAAATATTACTCTGATTTAAATGCTGCATTGTTTTCCACTAAGCTGAATGCCACAGAAAAATGGCACTTAAGGCTAGGTCACATAGCCAGAAGGGCCTGGACATCCCCACAGCAGGGCCTATTTGGTAAGGATCCCATTGAACCCCTTGAGTTTTTTGAGACTTGTATCATGGGTAAGCAACACAGGCTGAGTTTCTTAAAGGGAACTCATTTGGCTACCAACTGTTTAGAATATTTGCATGCTATCTGTGGGGACTTGAAAGGGTAAAATCACATGGGGGTAGTAGCTATTTTCTATCCTAGTAGATGACTTCAGTAAGAAGTGTGGGTTTTCTTACTAGGACTAAGGATGAAGCCTTGAGTAAGTTTAAGAGTTGGATGAGTAAGTTTAAGAGTTGGAAGGTTCTTGTAGAAAACCGAACTGACAAAAAGGTTAAAACCCTTAGGACCGACAATGACCTAGAGTTCTGTAACCTGAATTGACTCTTATTACACTGAACAAGGTATCCTAAAGCATAAAACAGTTGGAAAACCCCCAACAAAAGGGATTGCTGAAAGGATGAATAAGACTCTTTTAAGAAAGGTTAGATGCCTTCTCTTTACCTCCTGTCTACTAAAATCTTTTTTGGGAGAGCCCTTAACACTGTAGCCCACGTGATTAATAGAAGCCCCTCAAGTGCAATCAATTTTATGTGCCCTAAAGAAAGATGGAGCAATAGGAAACCTAACCAGAATGCTTGAGGACCTTGGGTGTGTGCCTATGTGCACATCAATGAAGGAAGTTAGACCTAGGTCTCCTCAGGTGTGCTTTCTTAGGTTATCAAGAAAGAACCAAAGGGTATAAGCTTTGGGAAAGGAGTGCCCCTGGGGTTAGGTATATAATCAGCAGGGATGTAATCTTTAATGATATGTATTTCCTTGCAAAACTACTAACCTCGATGCAGGTTCAGCCAGCAGCCACCCTAAAAATCAGGATCAACCTGAGAGAGTCCAAATTGAGGTAGAGCCTGCTGCACCTCAACCTGACTTAGAGCGACTAGAAACTAGAACCAATGGATCAGACTTGGATCCTGAGTTGGAAGAGGAACAAGCTGTAGAACTTGATGAACACCATCCTGACCCCTTAACACAATACTAGCTAGCCAAGATAGAAGTAAGAGAGAATCAGGCCACCATACTATATTCCTATGCTGATCTGATCTACACAACCCGGTGGTAGAGGCTTAAGTCCAGAGACAAAAACAGACTGCTATGAAGAAGTAGTCAAATCCAAAGACAGAGAAAAATGCAAGCTACAATGGAGGAAGAGATGCATCTCTAAAGGTAATGGAACCTGGTCTTTGGTTCCAAATCCCAAAGACCAGAAATTGGTTAAGTGTAGGTGGTTATTCAAGCTAAGGAAGGTATAAATTCTTCTGACCCTTCTATGTATAAGCTAGGTTGGTAACTAAAGGCTACACACAGTAGGAAGGAATAGATTTTAAGAAATATTCTCTCCCTTTGTAAATCAAAATAGGATCATGTTAGCCATAGTTGCCCACAAGGACTTAGAATTAGAACAACTGGATTTAAACTGCCTTTTGCATGGGAACTTGGATGAGAGGATTTACATGAGATAGCCCATTGGTTTTGTAGATAGGAACCTGCCTAATCATGTGTGTCTCCTTCATAAATCACTATACGGACTGAAACAATCCCCTAGGCAGTGGTATAAACGTTTGATGCTCATACTTAGCATTGGTTTCAATAGATAAGTAATGATAGTTGTTTTTATTATGCACTTTCTATAATATGCCATTATATTTGTTGTTGTATGTGATGACATGCTCTTAATTTCAAGTCTAAGTCTGATAGAAGAGCTAAAGAAAAAACTAAACTCTAAATTTGATATGAAAGACTAGGACATGCAAAAAGGATTCTAGGCATGATCATAGTAGAAATAGGAAGCATAATGAACTAAAAGTCACTAGACTTCCTATTTACAAAAGTTGGTGTCTAGATTGGCATGGCAGGTTCCAAAGTAGCGATTGTACCCTTGGCTGGACATTTTATATTAAGTAAAACACAATGCCCCAAAACAGATGCTGATTTAATTAAAATGGAAAACATCCCCTATGCTAATGTATTGGGTCAGTCATGTATGCCATGATTAGCATCAGACCAGACCTCTTCTTTGTAATCTCATATTAAGTAGATTCATGTCAAATCCTGGTTTTGAACATTGGCTTGCT